TATCACATTGGTGGATGTGCAGGTGAACGTGCCTTTGATAGTGTGGCTGATGTTATTAGGTCCTGTGATGGTGTCCCCTGAATAGATATGTGGACACAGTTGGCAACTGTTGCAAGGATAGGTTCCTGGGTTAGTGGTTCTGTTGTGTGGTATGTGGTTGCTGGTGAGTATTTGCTTCAGGTTGGGGGGCTGTCTGTAGGCAAGGACTGGCCTGTCTCCCAAGATTTGTGAGAGTGTTGGGTCATCCTTCAGGATAGGTTATAGATCCTTGATAATGCATTGGAGGGGTTTTAGTTGGGGGCTGAAGGTGACGGCTAGTGGCGTTCTGTTATTTTCTTTGTTAGGCCTGTCCTGTAGTAGGTGACTTCTGGGAACTCTTCTGGCTCTATCAATCTGTTTCTTCACTTCCGCAGGAGGGTATTGTAGTTGTAAGAATGCTTGATAGAGATCTTGTAGGTGTTTGTCTCTGTCTGAGGGGTTGGAGCAAATGCGGTTGTATCGCAGAGCTTGGCTGTAGACAATGGATCGTTTGGTGCGGTCAGGGTGAAAGCTAGAGGTTCTTGTGTTATGAGAAGGAGTAAATAACACTTCCTTATTTACTTTCTCCACACCAGTCATGATTTTATAGACCTCGATCATATCCCTCCTTAGTCGTCTCTTTTCCAAGCTGAAAAGTCCCAGTCTTATTAATCTCTCCTCATACGGAAGCCATTCCATACCTCTAATAATTTTTGTTGCTGTTTTCTGAACCTTTTCCAATTCCAATATATCTTTTTTGAGATGGGGTGACCACATCTGCACGCAGTATTCAACGTGGGGGCGTACCATGGATTTATATAGAGGCAGTATGCTATTTTCTGTCTTATTGTCTATCCCTTTCTTAATGATTCCCAACATTCTGTTTGCTTTTTTGACTGCCACTGCACATTGAATGGATGATTTCAGAGAACAACCCTCAATGACTCCAATATCTCTTTCTTGAGCGGTAACAGCTAATTTAGACTCCATCATTTTATATGTATGCTTGGGATTATGTTTTCCAATTTGAATTACTTTGCATTTATCAACACTGAATTTCATCTGCCATTTTGTTGCCCAGTTACGCAGTTTTGTGAGATCCTTTTGTAGCTCTTTGCAGTCTGCCTGGGACTTAACTGTCTTGAGTATTTTTGTATCATCTGAAAATTTTGTCACCTCACTGTTTACCCATTTTTACAGCTCATTTATGAATATGTTAAACAGGACTGGCCCCAATACAGACCCCTTGGGAACACCACTATTTACCTCTCTCCATTCTGAAAACTGACCATTTATGCCTACCCTTTCTTTCCTATCTTTTAACCAGTTACCAATCCATGAGAGTGCCTTCCCTCTTATCCCATGACCGTTTACTTTGTTTAAGAGGGACCTCTCAAAGGCTTTCTGAAAACCTAAGTTCACTATATCCACTGGATTCCCCCTTGTCCACATGGTTGTTTACCCCCTCAAAGAATTCTAATAGATTGGTGAGACATGATTTCCCTTTACAAAAACCATGTTGACTCTTCCCCAGTAAATTATGTTCATCTATGTGTCTGACAATTTTGTTCTTTACTATAGTTTCAACCAGGTTGCCGGGTTCTGAAGTCAGGTTTACTGGCCTATAACTGCTGGGATCACCTCTGGAGCCCTTTTTAAAAATTGGCGTCACATTAGCTATCCTCCAGTCATTTGGTACAGAAGCTGATTTAAATGATAGGTTACAGACTATAGTTAGTAGTTCTGCAATTTCACATTTGAGTTCCTTCAGAACTCTAGGGCGAATACCATCTGGTCCTGATGACTTATTACTGTTGAGTTAATCAGTTTGTTCAAAAACCTCCTCTAGTGACACCTCATTCTGGGACAATTCCTTAGATTTGTCACCTAAAAAGAATGGCTCAGGTTTGGGAATCTCCCTCACATCCTCAGCCATGAAGACTGATGCAAAGAATTCATTTAGTTTCTCCGCAATGGCCTTATCGTCCTTGACTGCTCCTTTAGCATCTCGATCATCCAGTGGCTCCACTGGTTGTTTAGCAGGTTTCCTACTTCTGATGTACACAGATTTCCTAATGTATGGCACCCACAATTAGACACAGGATTCCAGGTGAGGCCTCACCACTGCCGAGTGAAGCAGGAGAGTTACCTCCATTTGTGTTATGTACAACAATCCTGTTAATAGAGCTCACAATGATACTGCCCTTTTTGGCAACTGCATCACATTGTTGGCTTCTATTCAATTTATGATCCAGTATAACCCCCAGATCCTTTTCACCAGTACTGCCTAATCAGTTATTGTCAGTGACTGGGACATGGGTCATGTGTAGTGGTCAGAACAGGAGTCAGGCCAAAGCCAAGGGTCAGAGGCAGAGCAGGAGTTATGAGCCAGGAGTCAGAGCCCAAGGTCATAACCAGAGTCAAATTCCAGAGCCACGAGTCGGACCAGGGTTACCTGGAGTGGGACAAGGCATGAGCTATTCCAAACATGGGCAAATGCTTTTGAGTAGCTATTGAACTGCTGCTGATGGGGTTAAGAGCTGGTCTGCAGGCTCATCCAACCAATCAGGCAGTGTTACAAATTAGGCAGCCATGCTTCAGGTCAGCTGGATACATTAGGTTGCCCAGAGACTGGCTCTACTCCAGGCTCTTCTTTCTGACAATTACTCCCCGTTTTGTATTTGTGCATTGGATTTTTCCTTCCTAAGTGTAGTACTTCTCACTTGTCATTATTGAACTTCATTTTGTTGATTTCAGACCAATTCTCCAATTTATCAAGATGATTTTTAATTCTAATCCTGTCCTCCACAGTGTTTGGAACCCCTCCCAGCTTTGTGTCATCTGCCAATTTTATAAGTGTACTCTCTGCTTTGTTATCTAAGTCTAAGGAAAATATTGAATAGTACTAGACCCAGGACAGATCCCTATATGACCCCATTAGACAAATCCTGGAGTGGTGGGTGAAATTCTGTGGCCTGCGTTGTGCAGGAGGTCAGACTAGATGATCATAATGGTCCCTTCTGACCTAAATATCGATGAATCTATGAATCCTTCCAGACTGACAGTGAACCGTTGAAAAAACATACTGAAAGAGTAATTATCAATCAGTAGTTTACCCATCAGTAATTTCATCTAGACCACATTTTGGTAGTTTGCTTGTGAGAATGTCATATGGGACAGTGTCAAAAGCCTTACTAAAATCAAGATACATCAAGGCTGCTGCTTACCCACTCACTATCCATTAGACCAGTAATCGTGTCAAAGAAGGAAATTAGGTTGACTGGCATGTAGCTATACTGGCTATTATTTCCTGTTATCCTCTAGGTATTTATAATTAATTGTTTAATAATTTTAAAAAGTGTTCTGTTGGAAAATTTTGACTATCTAATATCTCATTGCAAAATCAGTATCACAGTTGGCACTAACTGGCACCCTGTCAGCAATTTTTGCAGAGAAGCTGTGTTGGACTGGGTATTGTCCACAATAAATCATATAGAATTGACATTTTGGAGAATTATTGACAACTGTGGTAACATGAAGGTTCTGATTTGATGAGAGCTGCATTGTGTATGACTCCTTAAGCTGAGGCAGCTAACCAATTTTGAAGAGACAGACCTATTTATATGCAAATAACTATTTTAATAGTTATTTGCAAGCCAAGAGGCTATGAGCACTATCATTGCCAGGAAGCATTGGAGATGGATTGGCCATGTGCTTCAGATAGAAACTGATTCCATCACCAGAGTGGTAATAAGATGGACACCTGAAGGCAAGTGAAAACGAGGCTGCCTGAAAACAACATGGTGAAGAGCTGTGGAAGCCGAGCTGAAAAACATGGGGCACAGCTGGGGAACCATTGAAAGACTTGCTAGAAACAGAGAGGCGTGGAGGAGCTTCGTCACTGTCCTAAATGCCAGAGGTGTAATGGGAACATCATGATGATGATGATCACCCATCTTGACTCAAAGGGTGATACATGTTTGAAGTGATACATGTTAACTGAAAGGAGATTAAAAACAGTCTATTCAGGGATAGGGTGACCTGACAGCAAGTGTGAAAAATCGGGACTGGGGTAATAGGAGCCTATGTAAGAAAAAGACCCAAAAATCAGGACTGTCCCTATAAAAGCGGGACATCTGGTCACCCTATTTAGGGAAGCTAATTTCCATTCAATATTGAATGAAACTGAATGTACAGTGGCAGAGGGGATGTCAATCTCAAGATCCATTTTAGAACTTCTCTTTGATTAGAAGTCAGTAGGTAATAAAGGTTGTTAACACCTAAACATCAGAGGGAGATACAGAGCAGCTGGGTTCTTCTCACTGTAGGAAATATTTGACCTCTGAAATAGAAATGCTTAGACAAAGTCTGAGAGTTTGACAGATTTCTGAACTCCTAAAGGTAAGGATGTGATTCAGTGATGTAAGGCACTATATTGTAACTACAGTGTCTAACCTATTTCACTAGGCTGTTACCTAGATAAGGTTGCCAGTTTTGGTTAGACATATTCCTGGAGGTTTCATCACATGACATCATCTTTAATTAAAGATTCATCTTTAATTTCTGGAGACTTCAGGACAGTTCTGGAGGGTTGGCAATTCTAACCCAAACTCAAGGCTAGACATAAATTAATAGTTTTATCTGTTTTACTTTTTCTCTTACTTTTAAAAGGTAAGCATTGCTTTCTTTAAGACACTTTGCCACTGCAGTTCATTCTTGAGGAAAATTAATTTCTGAACGCTGGTGAGAGGGAGAAGGTGACCGACACAGGATATTCAAACAAATGTGTAGGCCAGAAAGGTACAAATCCCATAATATGGCACATAGCTGAGACTCAACATCACCTCAAACATTTTATTACTAAGCTATATTGTAATTGGAAGTGATCCTCCAGAAAAGTTAACTTCAGAGAAATGTTTTGTTGTGTTAAAAAAATTGATTCCCCATTGTTTCTTACTCCATCCTCTATCATTGCTTACCAGGCCCCAAGCAATAGATCTTTGCTGCACACTGTCCCTGACAACTGGAAACAGGAAGGTTTAGAACTGTGAAGTATAGGTAAGTCTTAGTCTGAAAACGCTGTAGGAGAAGGCTTTTGTACCTAATAATTAGGTATATTCTTGACAGCAAATCCTAGTTCAAGCTTCTTTCTCCACAGTACCACTAACTGGTATTTGGTTTATCTGTTCTACTTGTAAGTAGCTTGGAAACTGAGCGCCTACAAGCCCACTTCTTCTGAAGAGCAGGAAACCTTTTGCTGATTCTTGGCATATTTGTTAATATATACCCCATACAAAGTATATGACTAAAGATATTTAGATTCTTAGGCTGTTCCTGATACTTTTTTGATTGAGCAAAAATGTATACTAGTCTCAATAAATAGCTTTATAATTTCATTAACCTTAATGGCAAGTTTTTTTTATGTAGTGACTGATATCTTTATAAAATTGCTGGAAAAACTGGTTGTAAATCCAGCTTGTTGACTGCTTGTTCTGCAGCCATCTTCATATGCTACCCTCTATATGACCTTTGGCCTGTTCAGAAGGTCCAGATTTAAATTGATTTAAATCACTAGTCAGGAAGACTCGATTTAATCATGGTTTTCTACATAAAAGTGCATTCTTGTTGGTTGTTATAACCTTAATACATATTCTTCACAACGCAGAGATAGATGTAGGTTTCATTTTTAGAAGGTACACACTATACATTTTTAAACAGTGATTTATTTTGAAAACTTTTCAGATTAGTTTTAGAGCTATATCACAAAATGAATGATTGTTTGGTTATTTCATTTACCAAAGATAATTGAAGCAGATATTTATGAAGTCATTGAGAGGTGAACTATCTCCAGTTCAACACAGACATTTAAAATTGTTTTATTTAACTAAAACAACATTAAGTATTCTGGATTTTTTCTTCAAAAGCAAACATATAATATTTTAACAAAACAAGTATATGTCCCTTGCTTCTCACATTTATCTCCAGACTTCTTCTCCTTGTCCAGACCTATTCCACCCCCAACAATCTTCTATTCATTGCACTTTTTGAAACTTTGCACTTTTAGAGAGAGGTAAGGGATTGACTGTGTACACAAATTTGCAGAGGGACAATAGAGTTGAGGTCTGTTATTTCTCACCGCTATATATTATTTATTTATTTAAAACATTTTTTGCTGTTAACAAGTATGTTACCTCTGGAGACACAAATCCACAGTTTCAGAACTGCAAAACTAAGCATCTCTGATGGTTTGTTCTAGACTGAGTACTGAGTCCCATTGGGTAGATAGAAAGATTAACCTAAATAATCTACACAGAAGCCCCTGGAACCCCATAAGATTGGGTCCCTAATCCATGAACTATTGGAACTCATTTACAAAACTTTTCTTAAACATTACATGAATATATTGTCTCATACTATCTAATTAGAATTTATAATCCCTATTCCATGATGAGATATCTTTGAGCTGTAATGTATCTTAATTAAAACTATCTTTAGCTAGGTTTTTTCCTCAGAAAGCATTTTATCAAAAAAAAAAAAATTGATCTTTTAAATTTTTTTTTAAAAAAATCATTGATTTTTATCCATCCTGGTCCAGTATATGATCTGCTGCTACTGATGTAGTACCATGTTAATGTCAGAAGAAGAAATTATTTGGAAGAGCACAACACACCAAACTGGAGATGCATTTTTTTTTATATATGGAAATGTATTGCCACACCATTAAAAGCTCTATTCTGCCATCATGTGGCACAGTCTCTCCCCTGTCCCCTCTTCTTTCTTTCTTTAACATAATTTAAGTTACATGGTTCCTTTGGATAAATCACAGAAAAATTGCATTCTGCTCTCGTAAAGAGAGAGGCATCATTGACAGCTTACGGGGTGAGGGGCACATCTCACCAGTGAAGAGAGAAACATACATAATGAGGAACAATTCACTAGGTAATATAGTGACCACAATTTAGTGCTCTCACACTTCAGCGAAGGTACTCAGATACTGCAGTGACGAGCGTGGGCATAGATACACAGGTAAGGCACAAGATTTGGAGTCGAGATGTGCGTATTATTCTCACTTCTGTCACACACTTGCTGCCAGACCATGGGCAAATTACTTTGAACAGGAAGCCAGGGTTTCAATTTCTCCATCTGTAGTTGAAATATTTCATTAATTTACATAATGGCTATCACAATGGCTGGACACATTGAATAAGCCAACATCAGACATCCAGCACTTATGGTGGTTGTTATATGTAGATCTTAAAGCTATTCTCTCACTTTATAAAGTTATCATTATGAAGACTGTGGGCCAGATTCTGACCTTAGTTACACCCCTGTGCAGCTCTATGGAATAGGATTGCATGGGGTGTGCTTCAGGGCAAAGTTTGACCTGAAGTATCTGTAAAACTCAGTACATTTCCCGGATGATACACACACCTCTTTAAAAAAGAGGAGTCTGCTAATCATATAGATTTTCTCCTGCTCCTCCAGCTCCACTCAGTGCTAATATGAAGTTCTTCCCATCAAAGAATAGGACACAATTTCACTAAGGATTGTGATAAAATCATTTAAAAACTATAATGTATGAAAAATTAAATTTGGTGTTTAGTTATAGGCATTTCTATTTAAACAAAATCTCTTCAATTTAAAGTCTTGATTTTCCTTTCAGTTATAGAATCGCTTGGGTGCACAAGTTTACCACCAGATGGCAGTGCTCGTTTGTTCCAAGTTTCGCATAACAGTACACCAGCAATCATTTGCCACGCACACAAGACTGTTCCAAGCATCCACATTTTTCTTTTTCCTCAAAAGAGTTATCAAACCCTGTGCACTGGAGACTTCTTTAATACATGGTGGTCCAAGTAAGTGGAAGAGTGAACATTATTATTATTGGCACCTTAGAGACTAACAAATTTATTTGAGCATAAGCTTTCGTGAGCTACAGCTCACTTCATCGGATGCATCTGATGAAGTGAGCTGTAGCTCACAAAAGCTTATGCTCAAATAAATTTGTTAGTCTCTAAGGTGCCACAAGTACTCCTTTTCTTTTTGTGAATACAGACTAACACAGCTGCTACTCTGAAACTTATTATTATTATTTTATTTATTTGTATTACTGTAATTCCTAGAATCCCTAGTTGTGGACCATGTAGCCCTGTAAAATGTTTGTTCCCTTATGAACATTTAATTTAGAGACAGGAGTAACAATTCAAGCATATCAGTGACGTAAATTGATACATGGCAGATTCCTTCCTCTAGTAGATGTACTAATCTGAAAACTGTGAATGACATGTGCCTGTTCAGTACAGAGAAATGTTTTTTAAACTGTTATTTCTTTTGTTGAAATGGAACCATTTGTACTTCCGAATAACACTTTATTCATTGTACTCACTCTTCCGTTCCCTCTTCTTCTTTTATTGGATTCTTATTATGCTCCCACACTTTGCAAAAGATGGTGATGTAGTGGCATTAAACTTTCCACTTTAGCTTTCTCAGAAACAGCCTAAAACAATGGCTCTTAGGTTCTCAGTGTGTTTCCAGAAAATGGTGATGAAATGTCATTAATCTTACCACTTTGGCACACATTGTGCTTAGGTGGATTTTGCTCAGGGATTTTCTTTGAGTTTCAGGCCGACGTCTCCAAAGCAGTGGCAACCCAGCACATCTGTGCCTCTACTGCAGTTATGGGCAGTAGCTTCAGTAGTCACTGTGCCCCCCTATACAGGGAGATAGGGATGTATGGATCCACATAGTCATGGATCTCCTTGTTACACCCTCTCTTCTTGCCAGGCCTGCTGCCAAGCCCACCCTTTGCATATTGCCCCAGTTGGACCGTCCTCTGGTATTCATTTAGGTGATGATAGGTGCACATAGGCTGCAGAAGTGCAGTGTGCAGATACAAAATTTGTATCTGCATCCGATCTGCAAATATGTGTGGATTTGCTGGGCTCCATTGAGCAGCCTGTTCCCCTTCCCACAAAAGTGGAACCACATAGTGCAGTCAATCTTTTTATATGTTCCATGAGGAAGGAGGGCAAGACTTGGTCTTTAGTGTATGTGGTTGTCTTGTGCTGGACACTGTGTGATCTGTTTACCTATGTTCAGGATCGTGTGTTTTGTGTAGTTCCACACTTATAGAATCTGTCCCTTGCTGCAGAATTTTGCTTGAGAATCTAGGTTTTCACTTAAATAAAAAAAGGGGTGGGGGTCTAGCCTTTTTGGTTGCAAAGAAAACCTTGAAAATGTCACCTGAATGTTAACTAATGCACTGTCATCTTCCTGAATCTGCAGATAGCCTAAAACAATGTCTTTGAGGCTCTCAGTGTGTCTAAAACTTGAGTTAGTCAATAAAATTTTAAACACTACTTAGCAGCTACTGTAGATGCATCTTAACACTCATTAAATGGCGTTAGCTGGTCATGGGCAACCTGAGGTTGACTACTGCAAGCTAAAAAAATTTAAGCAAGGGTTAAATTTAGGGCTTGTCTCCACTTGGATATTTACCAAAATAACTATTCTGGAATAATTATTTTGGTAAATGTCCGAGTGTAGACAAGCCTTCAGAGCATTTACATTATGGTTTTTCACTAAACTGATTTTAAATTGATCTGGTTAAACGAGTGCAACTTTTCTACAAGATAGTTAAGACCCAAGCAGACTGCGAAGAGCTACAGAAGGATCTCACAAAACTGGGTGACTGGGCAACAAATTGGCAGATGAAATTCAGTGTTGATAAATGCAAAGTAATTCAAATTGGAAAACATAATCACAACTATACATATAAAATGATGGGGTCTAAATTAGCTGTTACCGCTCAAGAAAGAGATTTAGGAGTCACTGTGGATAGTTCTCTGAAAACATCCATTCAGTGAGCAGCAGTAGTCAAAAAAAGCAAACAGAATGTGGGGAATCATTAAGAAAGGGATAGATAAGACGGAAAATACTATATTGCATCTATATAAATCCGTGGTACACCCACATCTTGAATACTGCGTGCAGATGTGGACACCTCATCTCAAAAAAGATATGTTGGAATTGGAAATGGTTCAGTAAAGGGCAAGAAAAATTATTAGGGGTATGGAATGGCTTCCATATGAGGAGCTATTAATAAGAGTGAGACTTTTCAGCTTGGAAAAGAGACAACTAAGGGGGGGATATAATAGACGTCTATAAAATCATGACTGGTGTGGAGAAAGTAAATAAGGAAGTGTTATTTATTCCTTCTTATAACACAAGAACTAGGGGACACCAAATGAAATTAATAGGCAGCAGGTTTAAAACAAACAAAAGGAAGTATTTTTTTCACACAACACACAGTCAACCTGTGGAACTCCTTGCCAGAGAATGTTGTGAAGGCCAAGACTATAACAGCGTTCAAAAAAGAACTAGATAAGTTCCTGGAGGATAGGTCCATCAATAGCTATTAGCCAGGATGGGCAGGGATGATGTCCCTAGCCTCTGTTTGCCAGAAGCTGGGAATGAGTGACGGGATGGATGACTTGATGATTAACTGTTCTGTTCATGCCCTCTGGGGTGCCTGGCATTGGCCACTGTCAGAAGACAGGATACTGGGCTAGATGGATCTTTGATCTGACCCAGTATGGCCATTATTATGTTCTAGTATAGATAGGGCCTAATTCATATTTGAGGCTAGAAAGGAATAAGAAAAATAAGTGGCTGATAAACTTCTTGACTTCCTACCATTCCCCGTAAGGACAAAAACTGCAAGCAAGCCACAGGCTGCAGAGGGGATGGAAAACTGCTCTGAGTGCTTTTTTGGATACTTGCCATTCTATGAATACTTAATTATATATTTAAAGCAAAACAATTTTTTTCTCATATTTAGCTAATTTTTTTTTCACAAATACGGTCTTTTCTTGTCTACAATCTAAAGTCAGTTGTTTTGGAATCAGGAAAGGTCTCTGCTGCTTCATGTTCTTATTTCACCAGTAATCTCTTCATTTTTACTAATGGCATGCATTTAAATCCCTTTAAATATTAACAGTGGTGCCAGAGAATACAAGTTCAGCACATAAAGGCCTGTCTGAATTAGTACAGAATTTCTGAATAGGTGTGGGCTGTGGTTATTTTACTTTAAGTAAATGAACTTTGCTGCAGTAATATCCCATTACTACAGATCATATGTACTGCTGGAAAATAAATCAGCTTGTCAGCAAATCTGGGTGTTCTGACTTTACATACATTATACAGATATTTAACATGTGTGCCTTTGCTCTCCACTGTACTACTCTTGCTTGAATGGATTTTATACTACTCTTGCTAGCTGAAATACTGCAAAGTGGCATGAAGAACAGGGTGACGCTGTAAGCCTTTTCATTCAGGGTGAGAGAGTCTGAGGATAGGACTGGGAGCCAGGCATTCTCAAATTTTAATGCTGTCTGTGACACTGATTCCGTGGAAGGCCCGTTTTATGGGTTGGTTTGGTGGTCACTTGATGGTGCCATGGCAGGAGCAGGGAGGATTTCTGGTGCTTGGAGGCTTGGCCACCTCAGGACTCTTGTCTAAAGCAAGTCCTAACCTAGCTCCACTTCTCTTACCTCCATGAACACTTCTCCTTTCCCACACTGTGCTCCCACTATGAGCCACCTCTTTCCATTGCAGGTCCCAGCTGCTCTTTCATGCTGTGAACCAAGGAGCAGAGAGAGACGACCACAGAACCTAAACAACCAGGTACTTGAATTCAGGAACTGTGTCTGTAGCTAGGCGATGTGGCCTCCCTCTCACGCTGACAGAGAGGAATCACTCCCTGCCCTCTGGTGGATGCAGCCAGGTTAGGGCCCCCCTTTGCACCAGAAGCAGAGGCTGTGGAACAGGAAGTATAAGATGCGAGGCCTCTAGCTCAGTTGAGGGAGAGCCCAGGAAGGAGTTGGATGTCTCTGCCTTGCTGCAGGCCCTTGAGTCAGGGACCAACCCTGCCCCGGAGGAATTCCCCAAGGAGCTGCCGAGTACCCTGAGGAGCCTGAGGGCCCGTGAGCGGCGAAGCCCTTCGAACAGATAGCAATAGGAAGTAGCCCAGAGAAACCAGACATTAGTCTGGTTGTGTTTGCTGAATCCAGAGTTGGTGTGTTTTGGGAGGATCCCTGCTAACCCAGGGGAGGATTACTCGCCACTGGTAGGGCTTTGGGCTGGGACTTGGTGGAGTAGGTTGGGCCTGGGTCCTCCTACCCTCTGCTGCCAGCCCCACTCCTGGGTGGCAGCCTTCCCACTTTAGGCCAGATGGCCTCCATTTGTTTGCTGTTTGCCCTACCCAGGGAGGTGGGCCATAGACTGCAGTTGCTCTGCCCTGCCCAAAGGGCTTGAGCCTGACACCGTCTGCTCCAAAGATACAGCTGGGTTGAAGACCGATAATTGCCCTGTTCTGCCCCATTGGCACATACCATGCTAATTCCTTGTCAATTGGCCATCAGCCAGTAGGTGGCATGGAGAGGTGGAGTGGCCTCCCTCCGAGGCTGATAGGGAGGAATCACTCCAAGCCACTACAGTGTCCGAGAAGGGACAAGGTCTTTGGTTGTCTGATATTAGGGCTATGTGAGATGGAAAGGAAAGAGGAAGGACCCACAAACATGGTACTAGAAAGGCACTCTCACAAGGCAGAGAAGAGTGTATTTCTCATACTATTAGTGTGCTAATATATAACCTCTCAAAAATTATTAGAATTTTGAAGCTTCCACAGCAAACTTCAGGCTTCATTTTCAGTAGTGGCCCCCTATGTATGTCCCTGCATATGGATTTAGGTACTTAACTGTAGGCATTCAAGTTTGAAAACTTAAGACTTTGTTTTGTGGATCTGAGTTTTGGTAACTATCAAAACTATTTTGGTACGAGTAGGACAATACTCACTCAATCTGTTACTAGTTGAATCATAGAATCGTAGGACTGGAAGGGACCTTGAGAGGTCATCTAGTCCAAACCCCTGCACTCATGGCAGGACTATGTAATAACTAGACCATCCCTGACAGGTGTTGTCTAACCTGCTCTTAAAAATCTCCAGGGATGGAGATTCCACAATCTGCCTAGGCAATTTATTCCAGTGCTTAAGCACCCTGACAGGAAATTTTTCCTAATGTCCAACCTAAACCACCCTTGCTGCAATTTAAGTCCATTGCTTCTCATCCTATCCTCAGAGGTTAATGAGAACAAATTTTCTCCCTCCTGCTTGTAACAACCTTTTATGTACTTGAAAACGGTTATCGTGTCCCCTCTCAGACCTCTTTTTTTCTCCAGACTGAACAAATCCAGTTTTTTCAATCTTCCCTCATAGGTCATGTTTTCTAGACCTTTAATCATTTTTGTTGCTTCTTCTCTGGACTTTCTCCAATTTGTCCACATTTTTCCTGAAATGTCACACGCAGAATTGGACACAATACTCCAGTTGAGGTCTAATCAGCACAGAGTAGACTGCAAGAATTCTCGTGTCTTGCTTACAACACTCCTGCTAATACACCTTAGAATGATGTTTGCCTTTTTTTTTTTTTTTTTTGCAAGTGTTACACTGTTGACCCATATTTAGCTTGTGATCCACTACGACCCCAAGATCCCTTTCTGCAGTACTCCTTCATAGGTAGTCATTTCCCATTTTGTATATGATTGTTCCTTGCTAAGTGGAGTAGTTTGCCTTTGTCCTTATTTAATTTCATCCCATTTACTTCAGACCATTTATCAAGTTTGTTCAGATCATTTTGAATTTTAATCCTATCCTCCATATCACCTGGAACCCCTCCCAACTTGGTATCATTTGCAAACTTTATATGTACTCTCTATGTCAGTATCTAAATCATCGATGAAGATACTGAACAGAACCTGCGGGACCCTACTCGATATGCCCTTCCAGCTTGACTGTGAACCACTGATAACTACTCTCTGGGAAGAGTTTTCCAACCAGTTATGGACCCACTTTATAGTAGCTCCATCTAGGTTGTATTTCCCTAGTTTGTTTATGAGATGGTCATGTAAGACAGTATTAAAAGCCTAACTAGGTCAAGATATATCACATGTACTGCTTCCCCCCCCCCCATCCACAAGGCTTGTTACCCTGTCAAAGAAAGCTATTAGGTTGGTTTGACAAGATTTGCTCTTGACAAATCTATGCTGACTATTAGTTATCAACTTATTATTTTCTAGGTGTTTGCAAATTGATTGCTGAATTATTTGCTCCATTATCTTCCTGGGTACTGAAGGTAAGATGACTGGTCTGTAATTCCCCGGGTTGTCCTTATTTCCCTTTTTACAGATAACCACTATATTTGCCCTTTTCCAGTCCTCTGGAATCTCTCCCGCCTTCCATGACTCTTCAGAGATGATTGCTAATAGCTCAGATATCTCCTCAGTCAGCTCCTTGAGTATTCTAGGATGTATTTCATCAGGTGACTTGAAGATGTCTAACTTGTCTAAGTAATTTTTAACTTGTTCTTTCCCTATTTTAGCCTCTGATTCTACCTAATTTTCACTGGCATTCACTATGTTAGACATTCAATCACCACCAACCTTGGTGAAAACCAAAACAAAAAAATCATTTAGCACTTCTGCCATTTCCTCATTTTTTCTGTTACTGTTTTTCCCGCCTCATTGAGTAATGGGTGTACCCTATCCTTGGTCTTTCTCTTGCTTCTAATGTATTTGTAGAATGTTTTCTTGTTACCCTTTATATCCCTAGTTTTGTGCCTTGGCCTTTCTAATTTCATTCCTATATCCTTGTGTTATTTGTTTATATTCATCCTTTGTAATTTGATCTAGTTTCCACTTTTTTGTAGGACTCTTTTTTGAGTTTCAGATCATTGAAGATCTCCTGGTTAAGCCAGGGTGGTCTCATGCCATACTTCTTTTTTTTCCCACACAGTGGGATTGTTGGCTCTTGTGCCCTTAATAACGTCTCTTTGAAAAACTGCCAACTGTCTTGAACTATTTTTCCCCTTAGATTTCCTTCCCATGGGATCTTACTTACCAATTCCCCAAGTTTGCTAAAGTCTGCCTTCTTGAAATCCATTGATTTTATTGTTCTGCATTCCCTCCTACCATTCCTTAGGATCGTAAACTCTACCAGTTCATGATCACTTTCACCTCAGCTGCCTTCCACTTTCAAATTCTCAACCGGTTCCTCCCTGTTTGTCAAAATCAAATCTAAAACAGCCTCTCCCCTATTAGTTTTCTCCACCTTCTGAAATAAAAAATTGTCTCCAATACATTCCAAGAACTTGTTGGATAATATGTGCTCTGCTGTATTATTTCCCCAGCAGATGTCTGGGTAGTTGAAGTCTGCCATCACCACCAAGTCCTGTGCTTTGGATGATTTTGTTTAAAAAAAGCCTCATCCACCTCTTCTTCCTGGTTAGGTGGTCTGTAGTAGACCCCTACTATGACATCACCCTTGTTTTTACCACATTTATCCTTACTCAGAGACTTTCAACAAGTATTTCCATCTCAGCCTCAATCCAAGTGTATACAATTTTAATATATAAGGCACACCAACACCTCCTCTCTTTTTCTCCTGCCTGTCCATCCTGAGTAAGCTGTACCAGTCTATACCAATGTTCCAGTCATGTGTATTATCCCACCAAGTCTCTGTGATGCCAACTATGTCATAGTTGTGTTTATTAACTAGCATTTCAAGTTCGTTCTGCTTATTCTCCATACTTCTCGCATTAGTATGCAGACATCTAAGATACTGATTTGATTTCCCCTCTGTGTTCTCTCTTGTCTCTCCCTTATCCCTGCTATAATGGCCCATGCTCCTCCCAGATTCTGACCCTTCTCCCAGGTTTCCATGTTTTTGATTTGCCTGTAAGATTTTGTCACCTGCCCTCACCGAACCTAGTTTAAAGCCCTCTTCACAAGGTTAGCCAGTCTGTATCCAAATATGCTCTTCCCCTTCCTTGATAGGTGGGCCCCATCTCTCCTTAGCAGTCCTTCCCGGAACAGTATCCCATGGTCAAGGAGGCCAAAGCCCTCCTGGCGACACCATCCTTGCATCTTGGAGATGAATGCCTGGCTACATCTGTCTCTGTCTGGGCTCCTACCCGGGACTGGAAGGATCAAAAAGACCACCACCTGTACCACAAACTCCTTCACCCTTACTTCGAGAGTCCTATAGTCACTTCTAATCTGCTCAGGGACATACCTCACAGTATCACTAGTGCCCCATGAATGAGTAGCATGGGGTAGCAGTCAGAGGGCTGGATGATCCTTGACAATCCCTCCATAACATCTTGGATATGGGCCCCGGCAGGCAACACACCTCCCGAGATGCCATGTCAGACCGACAGATGGGTGCCTCCGTCCCCCTCAGAAGAGAATCACTCACCACCACTATCCTATGTTTCCTTCTGGGAGTGGTGGCTGTGATCATCCCAGCCTTGGGGGTATGTGGCTTCTTCTCCTCCACCTTTGGGGGCAATTCCTCATTGCTTGTTGCCAGGGCAGCATAATGGTTCTTCATCACTATGGTGGGTGGGTTGGGAGTAGGGGTGGAGCACTGCCTGATGCCAGAAGTAACCAGCAGCCATTGTCCACCCTGTGACAGAGCCATATCCTCCTCCCTCAGTGGCATAACAGCAGTCTTCTCTAGCTGGATAGCTTCCTCAGCCTTGGATGTCTGTCAGTACTGTCAATGAATCCCTGATAGCACAGTCCTCTCTAGCTGGATGCTCCTCAGCCTTGCCACCTCCTCCTGTAGCCCTGCCACCTGCTTCTTGAGAGATTCCACCAGCAGACACCTTTCACAATGGATAGTCCCCACAGTCTGGCTTTCTGAGTGGGAAATGCAGGCCACAGTCTCTACAAATCTACCCTGGGATCTGGGTAGAGGTATCCATGGTCAAGTTCTCTGTCTGGATACAGGTGGAGGAGACAGGAGCAGTGTTGGCACTCGCAATGTAGCCCTTCATAACCATAGCAATTATATTACTATTCGCCCTTACAAACTTCCCTGTTTGCAGTCCCCTGTTTGTGCAGTCCCCTTGGTGGTGTAGCCTCTGGCTTTTAAGGCCTTTTCTCCTAGGTAGGTCCTACCCTTTCGTTCAATCACACAGAGGGAGGGTGATTACAAGGCTGATTGAGGCTGATCAAGGATGATCCAGGGAACAAAGGCTCAAACAGTCCACAAAAACACTATCCCAACTGACCCTGTAACTTTAAATAACCTCAGACTAAGAGAGAGGAAAACACAAAGAGCCAAACAAACTCACTCACCCCGAGATTACTACTTGCATCGTATTCATTCAGCAGGGGGATCTCATTCTTCCCCTCTCAAACTTCCCTGTTTGCAGTCTCCTCTTCACTAGCTCGCATGTGCACACACGTTAGCATGCACAAGTAGGCTCTTTTTAATATGCAAAATGAGCAATTACATTCATAAGTATCAGTTTGCACATGTTATTGTCTGATTTTTTGTGCAAATGCAGATTCTTGCAGAAGCAGAGGCTATAATCGTTTTTGCAAGCATAATGTTGTTCCCTCCTTGGAAAAATTTGCCCCTAACTGCTACTTATGGGCTAGCTTATGCTTTAACAGTCTGCCTTCCGTAATGAGTGGTGCATAGCTTCACTGCTCCAGGAGCAGAAGAGGAAGATTCCTCACAGCGACACAATGTTAGGAATGAGTAACCTGATGTGTGCCATCTTAGCAGTGCAGGCTGGCATGCTGAGGTGTAGAGTCTTCGTTCCAACCATTCCTTGCCCACTTGCTTGGATGGGAAGTAGTGGGAATGCAGTACATGCTTACTCCTTTAAGGGAGGCTGCACGGTAATGTGAGGTGTAGAGAATTACTTTTCAGGCTGCGTTACAAAATGGTTCTGTATTTCCAGCTTCCCTGCAGACTGGAATGAAAGAACTGTGCCTGACAGGAGAAGTCTTCAAGGGGTAGGAAAATCAAGCACACAGACAAAAGGAAAATGCATAAATAGTAGGAACACTTTCTGTTCAGCCAGCCTACATGACTGGTGCTCTCTTGTGACTCAGAGAGAACTGCAGAGCACTTTTAGACAAAGTTGGAGAGGCAAGTGGTTTGTGGAAAAAATACCTAATTTATGTCCTCTAATGATATCCAACTTCTCCATGCTATTTGGGTGGCCTACACCCCCTCCTTTCTACCCCCCAAATATCCATTAGTGGAATAGTTTATTAATTACAGCCTTGCTACTGACATGCCATGACTTTGATTGATGATTAAAGAGCTGTTCTGTTAAATGTACCAGGCAACATAAGACTGAAATTACAGCTGTACTCTGAAAAGTAACACAGCATAAAAAAAATAAGTCTTCTGGGTTTCCAGTTTTGTCTCTTGATTCTGTTTCAAAAAATATTTTTAAACTATCTGCCCTGGAAATTTCAACCTGGACTCTAAAGGTCTGGCTGGGTTCTTTTTAATTCTGGATCATCACCAATGATCAAGATTCCACAGCTGGAACTTAGTTATCAATTCTGTGAATTGTACATGCCAAAAAAGATGCCAGCTCATTCGCCCAGAGCAGAATTGTGTGCAGTGCTAAGAATAAAAAGCAGTGAAAACTCATTTTACTTAGAAAAGTAAGCAAATAGACTGTGCATAGAAACAGGGAGTAGAACTCTGGAGGATTAAGAGATGCTATTTTAACATCTTCATTTTTCTTGAATTTTTTAATTGTCCATTGATTTCAATGAAACAAAATGAAGTGGAATGGTGGTTGGTTTTTCCTGCACCTGTGCTGAAGAACCAGCTAGGAAAGGGTTAACATCTGATGTCTGTATGCTTGTTAATTACATAAAAAGGACAAAGACTACATGGAAATGGCAGCTAGCATTATCTGCCATGGATTAATGTGTAATTTACAAATCCAAAATATTCTGTTTAAAGATCTACTATGTTATAGACACTGCAATTTTTTTCTTATGTGCACATGTTAAGACTTTCCCCCCACCCTCCCCCCAAAATCAGGAGTATATAACACTGAAGGTTTCAAAATCCCTTTTGAAATTTCTGTATTAGAGTGCAGCAGTTGATGGTTACCACAGTGATGGGATTGGTATAAGAACCCGAATACCAGAATAGAATGATTAGTAATGGAACAGCTATAGACTTAAAAAAAAAAAGTGGTTGGGGGAGGCTTAGATTTTGTTTGTTTAACTTTACATTCCTAAATTAAAGTCAGGACAGTAAATTAGTGGCAAAAAGCTCTATCCACATTCTCTAGTAACATAAAATCTA